CTAAAAGGATGAACTGGAAGGAAACAAGAGAAAATAAAAGCAATGTAAGAAATGTTGTCTGACAGGGAAATTCGTACCCCAAAAATTAAATAAAAAAATGTCTCCAAAGCAACAATTCCTGGCAGATTTACGGAGAGATGTATGAACTACTATAATGATGAACAAACTAATTGTTAAAGATAAGTTTTGTGATGCAATACCAATGAGGACAAATATAGTGAGGTGATCATAGGAGATTTCAGCTCTTTGAGAAAGGGAGTGTCTACTGGTGAGAAAGCGATGGCACTGCAAGCTGAGAGCTAAAAAGGCAAAGTTAAATTGCATGAGCAAAGAGAGCATCTCCTGACACCAGTGGACAACTTAATCTTACTTTACAAGAATATTAGACACTTAGTCTCTGTTGACTTATACACCTATGTTGTACCTGTTTTCCACAGCTGTCACATGCTCACCACCTATTATAAACATCAATTTTAAACCCATTATAAACAAAATTTGCTACTGATGGAAACTAAATTACTAGTTCAGAATTGATATCTGACTTTAAGGTGGCCCAGCTTAGGGGAAATGAGCGCCCTGCACCCAATTTACTCTTGGCTGATCATTCTGGAGATGAATAATGTTCCCCTGTCTCACGGGCTCTTCCCGTTGTGTGCTTTTCAGATGTCCTATACTGGCTCAAAATTTTACACAAATGGGAAGGAAAAGGGTGAGGGGGAAGGAAGAGGTGAAAATATCCAGCTTCTGCTTTTCTATTCAGGGCATGTCCCTGCTGCCTTATTATCACATCAGAGAGCCTGGACCCATCAGCGCTTTCATCACACAACATTTTTCTCCCCCAAGAATTTATAATTCTGCCATCTTAATTTGTTTTGGGGACACTCGTCAGTCTGATTCCCTATCAGAGATAAAATTTGTTTTATTAGAAAACATCTATGAGCAGTTAATCTGGCAACTTTGTTTTAGACCTTGAGAGGTCAATGCATAATTTAGAAGTTTTTGAATTCTGTTCTGATTACTTCTCGCTCAAAGACAACCTCGGTTACACAGGCTTGGTTTTCCGAGGGCCAAAGTCCTTCTTTAATCATCAAATATGCTGCCACAGACCCTGACGCCTGTGTCTAGCCTGCAGGGTTTTCTATTTCTCTCAGCCAGCGAGGCAGGAGGATGGAACGGAGAGGGATGTGCGCAGTATGGCAGGACCAGAAGTGGTGCAGCCCCACGGGTGCTGGAGGTGAGGGACGGCTTGCAGCTCCAGCCATGGCAGAACACCGATTGAGGGAGGCGGGAGGAAGAAACTGCCACTTGGTGATAGAAATGAGACTAGGGATGGATTTCCAGCAGTGACAGGGCTATGTGATGCTTGAGCCACGCAGATTGTGCCTTGTGAAACCGGATTTTGGGGGCCAACCATGGTCTGGTGGAATTAATAGGAAGACTCCAACTGGTCTCCACAGGCAGTAGGTCAGGTCCTCGATGTGTCAAGGCTGCTTCAAACCTCTGCAGGAATCTGTACTTCCAGCGGAATGGGAGCAAACTGCAGCTGTAGCCTTACAGTATGTAAAACTCCTATTGATTTACAACCTGCATGTTGTAAACATGCCTCCACATGGAGGTAGGATATGAATTCTGTAGCTTATGAGCAGGAAAGAAGGGCCAGCGTTGTCTTTCCCGGCTACAGACCCTTTGCCATGAATAAATGTTTCATTTTTATTGCATTAGTTTTGCTGGTCTTGAAGAATCCCAACAATTACGTGGTCAGCGATATGAAAGGCATAAAGGATCTCGAGATCATTTACAGCTCATTCACAAAGGCCCCTTATAATATGGTGGTCCAGAGAAATTCTCTGTTGATGGGTCCTATTACAACTGGAAGGAATGAAACTTTGAAATACTGTTATTTCATCTTTATATGACACATAATGAAGTCAATTCAAATGTCAGTTTTCAATGGAACATGAGATCTCTCGGAAATGTCGTGCCCATTCAAACATACAAAATAACAACGAGGTATAAAAATACCCAGTGTGTTTTAAGGACATGACGCTATTACAGAACTGAGAGTTGAAAAGGCTCAATTCCTTTTTTACTAATGAAAAGCTAAGAACATGAAATAATTTTCCAGATTTTATGGTATTTGTCTCATTTCCTTGAAAATCTCCTGAAACCAATTTCAAGTTTGTTTAGCTTTTAATCAAAAACTTATGAAGTCATCTTTTAATTAATGATAAGCCAATTCTAATGCATTTTAGCAGCTAAAATTTTGTCAAATGATTGATATAGGTATTCTTCTCTGACCAAGCAGAACTTACCCAAAACTCTCATCAGACCTGTCATCTGGTCTGGAACCTGATGAAATTCAACAAGGGCAAGGGCAGGGTCCTGCACCTGGGCAGGAACAATCCAATGCACCAGTACAGGCTTGGGGCGGACCTGCTGGAGAGCAGCTCTTTGGAGAGGGACCTGAGTGTCCTGGTGGACAACAGATTGACCATGAGATAGCAGTGTACTCTGGCTGCCAAGAAGGCCAATGGGATCCTAGGATGCATCAAAAGGAGTGTGGCCAGCATGTCAAGGGAGGTTCTCCTTCCCCTCTACTCTGCCCTAGTGAGGTCTCATCTGGAGTACTGAGTCCAGTTCTGGGCTCCCCACTTCAAGAAAGATGAGGAGCTACTGGAGAGAGTCCAGCAGAGGGCTACGAGGGTGGTGAGGGGACTGGAGAATCTCTCCTAAGAGGAAAGACTGAGGGAGCTGGGCTTGTTTAGCCTGAAGAAGAGAAGGCTGAGAGGGGACCTAATTTATGCTTACAAATATCTGAAGGGTGGGTGGCAGGAGTAGGGGTCCAGACTCTTTTCAGTAATGCCCAGCAACAGGACAAGGGGCAATGGGCACAAACTGAGGCACAGGAAGTTCCGTCTGAACATGAGGAAGAACTTCTTCCCTCTGAGGGTGATGGAGCACTGGAACAGGCTGCCCAGGGAGGCTGTGGATTCTCCTTCTCTGGAGATATTCAAGACCTGCCTGGACAAGGTCCTGTGCAGCCTGCTGTAGGTGACCCTGCTTCAGCAGGGGGGGTTGGACTAGATGATCCACAGAGGTCCCTTCCAACCCCTACCATTCTGTGATTCTGTGATCTTTGGCATTACCAGTGCTAAAAGTTGAAAGAGTATGAATTTGCAACAAAGTATATAACAGACCTCCTTTCCCCCAAGACCCCCCCCCAAAAAAAAAGCAAAAAAATTCCACATAGAGTTCCTTTTATTTGTCATTTAGTTTGCTCTACCTCATTTTGAGGAGTCGTCCTGTTTGAAATACAAGATAAAAATTACTTTAGGAAAACAAAACAAAATCAAAACCTTCCCTCAGACCCTCCCAGCTCCCTCACATCTTCCACAACTATAGAGCTGTGAGATAAAATACCATCTCCTATTCAGCTCACCTAATTTTAGACCTATACAGCTGAGCTCTTCCTCTGAATGAGTTGTCTATTGTCCTTTTACAATCAATAGAGAGGAAGAGGCAAGATTAATCTCACTCATTTAAGAAGTCAGCTTTGTGATGAGATGAATGGTGTCCTAGAAGTGCTATTTCCGTTCATTACCAATAAAATAAAGTAGATGTCTCACTAATGTGAGGTGAATCCCATTTAAATATTTAAAAGCAAATGTGAGATGGGGCAACACTTGTCTTTTGGGCTTTCCTGTATGTTTGTCTACATCCTTGCGTGCGTCGGCTGGTATAGTGCTTGTGGGGTTGGGCATGTTGTGCTTCTGCAGCAGCCAGCAGCCGCTGGGCATGGGACATCTGCCCTTGTCCTATTCCCACCACTGCTGTGGGTCCTCCTGCAGAAGAAGCGTGGGCTGAGGTGGAGAGCAGGAGCAGAAGAGTCCATGCAGGGACTTGGTTCTGGTTTCACCTCAGCCTCTGCTCTGTGCATTTCTTCTGTGAGTTTCTTCTTCAACAGACTGTAGCTGTTTTCCAAAATCTTAACAAATACCTTTGGTCATTAAAGATTTCTTTTTCTGTAATAGCTTGCAGACTGAGACCCTAAATGGCTAACTCAGTCTCTTACTTTGGATGCTTCAGAGCAAAAACATTCCTTTCCAGATAGAAACAAAATTGTGGATATTAGGTTATTGTTAGTATACTGCTTGCACGGCCTGCTTAGATTGTAAAAGGTTTTGGTAGTGTTTTAAGGAGTCCTATGCCATTATGACAAAATACGTGATATGATTTCATGTCTCAGCTCTGTCACAGCTACTGTAGAAACCCAGCAGATGCGGTGATGAAAAACCTTCACAGGGTGGCAAAGTAGCCACATCCGAAAGACAGGCAATGGATTTCACTGAGATCTGGGAGGAGGGTCACCTTGCTGCCTTGCACCTTAACAACCCACGTGACTCCAGTAAATCAGGATATATCTTGTTGTGAAGGGGGAAAAAAACCCAAAACCAACCCCAACAGAAGAAAGAGCACAGACTGTCACCAGTTGTTACATCAGTCCCAGGGAATCAGGTTAGGTAAGTATTTAGCCCACCTCTTTCTGTGGAGAGAGCAATGATGGTGTGTTAATGCTACATGTATCATAACCATTAGGGATCCTGACTGCAAAGTGCCGAATATCCTCTTATAAAATGATAGGAAAACTTGCAAGGTTGGGGAAAAAAATGGTGAAAGGAAATGTGGAAAAACCCCAGAGGATGACCAACCTCACAGTCCAGCGAGAGATGTTTCCATCCTTTGCTCGTGTCCTGACAGACTGCAATTTGCCATGTACACTGAAGTCAATCCGTCCTACACACAGTTTCTGGTATTTCCTGGTGAACAGAGGAACTAGGCTAGGCACGAATCCCATTCTGGATAAAGAGTAATGTCACGTAGCTCCGTATTATTTCCTGGAAGCTGACAAAAAGGGTCGATGCTAATAACTGCCAGCACGTGCATATAAACAGTTGTTGGGTTTGGATTTTTTATTATTTTGTGTTTTATTTATTTTTAATAGAAAGAGCGTTTTTCATGAGGTCCTCTACTGACAATCACAAGTGAGTCGGAAAAGCAAGGGGTTTGATGGTGAAGAAAATCGTCCTTATTTGGGTCCACTGCCCTTGCGTGCTACCTGACCTTCTGCAGCTCCTGTCTCAGCCAGGAGGGCAGGGGCTGCCCCAGCCTGTGCAGCAGCTTGGACAACTCCACGTTGTGGTCTCTGTAGTAGCTCGACAGAAACGCTCGAGACTGAGAAGGGTGAAAAAGAAAACAACAGTCAAAGAAGGAAACCCACCTGATGGCAGATTTTGGCAGGTGCTCCCGGCCGGGAGCTACGGGCTGCTCCAAGAAAGGGGCTCGTAAGAGGGGGCAATTAATCTCCTATCATTCAAACCTTATTAAAAGTTTCTGATTTTTAAAAATATCAATCCAGTGGAAATGAAGAAAAAAAAAAAAAGAAATCAGTGTGTTTATTTTAGGAGTCAGAAACAGGGTCAAGACTGAAAAATGCCAACTTAAATCTCTGGAAAGCCCTTACCTCTTGGTCCATTGGTGGGTATTTTCGACCTTTGCTTTTTCCCAGGCACTTGGTTTTCCCTCCTTCCAACAGCTGGCACCAAAAGCCTTTCTGAGGGTCAAAGCTATAGAAGATTATATTTTTTGAAAGACCTTGCTATAGATGAATCTCCCAGGTACTAAGACATCAGTGTTAGCCAAAAATTATTGCTGCACACATCTCTCTGGATGACTGAAATATTGAGAACAGAGTAGGAAACAGCTTTGGGCTCTTGTGAAAACTCTGGGAATTTCTTTTTTTCAGAAATCTGCCTTGGGACTGGCTCATGGCAAGAAGTTTTTCACATTGTGCTTTACCTACAGTAGATAATTTTTATTCTACCCGTCCAGCATATAGGATACAAGTTTTAAGTGTTGATCTATAGGATGCCAGTCAAGGTCCTGAGCCTCAGTCTCAAGGATCTTACACGGCCCCGCTCCAGACTGTGATTCATATTTTATTGTCTGGTTTTCATCAGAGATTTTATTCATGTCAAACTGCTCCATGTATCCCTGTGGGATGTTAACATTTTGATCAATTGACACTTGGACAAAGAACATTTTGTTGAAAAAATTTTGAATCAGCTCTTTTCCTGGAAGTAGATGCACTATATTCTCATGGACATTATCAGATGTGCTCCAGGAAAGCTCTCCATATGGCCAGTTTGAGCTGATGCTGTTGTAGGTCAGCAACGTCAAGGTGAGAGGGGTTAGAAAGGGCAAGTGAATCTATTTGCTCACTTCAGCAGACAGTGGACTCAATCCCTAAGTCTATTTATCCCGAGAAGTGTGTGATAGTTGCATGACTAAAAAATGATGAGAAATATAATATTGAAATGTTTGATGTTGATTTTTGAGTGAAATAAGCAGCGTTCAGGTCTACTGTTGGTTGTTGATAATTTAACTGCACCTGAGAAGCTGGTTGTTCCATATCGTTAGATCTAAATATAATTTTCATTCCAAAGATGGAATTATAGCATGAACATCATCTTAGCAGTCTTATATGAAATATGCAATTTGATTTTGATGTCTAAAATTCAGATGTATAGGAATTTTAGATTAAGGCTTTAAAAGATGTACTCACAAAGGAATGAACAACATGCAACGTTAAGTTTTGAATTTATTGCTATGGGACTTGCAGCATGCATAAAACATTGAAAAGGTTCACATTTCTGCTATTCAGCAGATGTTTGAAAAGGATGAAGTATAATTGGCTGGAACACAGAGTTAATTAGTTACACACTGCCTTTTTGCCCTGGGTCTATCAGTACGACACGGGTGCACCTGCAATTTGCTGCTGTACATAAGTGAACTAATTTCTGGAGAAGGGTGAACCTTCTTCATGTTTTTTTTCTTGCCCAGTCTGTTATTGCAGGCCTGACCTGGTTTTCTAAATTGTCTCAAGTAGCTGTATCAATTAAAAATAAATAAATCATTGATTAAATGAATATATCGATGATAGATTCATTTCTACTTTGGTATTTTCCATCTGCTTATTGCATGGTGAAGTACTTTAGCTGGCTTGCACTGATTTCCCAAGAGAAGGAGCAATATAGTGTGCTGGGTAAAAGGAAAACTGCAAAACTATGCCCCAAACAGTATTTCTCCCTCAGAAGGAGCATACTGAAAATTAGTAAGAAAATGTGCAAATTTGGGTAGGGGAAAAGAGGGTAAGACAGGTCAGGCTGAATTCAACCCATTGTGTTTAGGTACTACAAAACTCTCAGGACTCTGAAAACATAATTGGGCACAATGGAAGTATTTATTTAAAAATAGTGGTAGCCTTAAGGTTAAAGTTACAAGTAAGCTTTTTAAACCAGTCAGTGAAAACCTTTCCTCCAGGCCCGGTTATCTTTTCTTCCCTTGTAGAGTAAGCCTGTGGGAGATGCGGGGTTGAACCTGTACACCTGTACGCCCACCTCACCTCTCAGGAAGTCAGTACCCAACGCTAGAGGTGGGGCGGGTGCCTGTGAGGTCCAAGAGAAAACATTTACTTAAGCACGCTCCCCTAATCCTGTCTTTTCCCTTCCCTCCGGTGGTTCACACGAGGGAAAATGAGGGAAATCTCCCCTGTGAGAGCAGCGTTTTGGCTGCCTTTTGCCAAAGCCAAGCTCTGTTCTGCCTCCCTCCTTTGCTGCCTGCTGAGAAAAGCAAAGGAAAATGGGAACCAGTGGCCTACGCTACCCGAGACCGCGAGTCATCTGAGGATATCGGGCATGAGGTACATCTTCCCAGTGCTCAGTGGAGCTTTGGTAGGGCCATCCTGTGGTTAAAAGGAAAGGTCTTTTGTAACTTTAGTCCCATGTGTCCTAAGTTTCTGTTCATTAAGTTCAGATACTTAAAAAATTTAAGCCTTCAGTCGCTCCCTGTGAAAACAAATGGGTGGGGGAGAGGTAGGAAACATCTTTTCAGTGCTGTAGTGGAAACTTCATGAAGACCACCACCTAGTTTCCCTCTCCCTTTGTGTGGGGATCCCAATGTCTTTCTATTGATAGTGTTATGTATAAAAGCCTTGCAAGCTTAGTTGTTTTTTCCCTCTTTGTTCTCACTACTCTAATAAAAAGTATAGGTCATAAAATCATGGAATCGTAGTTAGGGTTGGAAGGGACCATTAAAGGTCAACTAGTCCAACCACCCTGCGATGAGAAGGGACAACTTCCACTAGACCAGGTTGCTCAGAGCCCCGTCAAAACCTGACCTTGAATGTTTCCAGGGATGGGACATCTACTACCTCTCTGGGCAACCTGTGCCAGTTTTTCACCACCCTCATCATGAAAAATGTCTTCCTTATATCCAGTCTGAATCTAGGTCCTCTTTAGCAGTGTGCATAAGAAAAGACAACCTAGCTGCCTGTCCCAGCTGTGGCTCTTACTAACCTGGTGTGAAGTGCACATCTCTCCAGATGCCCGAGCCCTGCCTCTGTCTCCCTTCTGCTCGCTTTCTGTGGCTCTCATTAGTAGCTTCCCTCTGCCTGGGCTGATTTTACTCTCCTATAAGACGTCCATGTAATTACTCAGGGTGATGAACTTGTTGCTCACTAGTGTTTGCAGGACTGGGTCCTTAGGCTGATTTGTGACAACTTTAAAAATGTGTGGTATACAGTTATTAGGCAGTAATGACCAGGAACGATACCGTGCAATCTTTTTTACTTTGACAGTCCTACCATAAAGCAACTACATTGTTTAATGCATTTTTCTCTTCCATCCTAAATCTGTACAGAAATGTGTGCTTCCACAGCACATTTGCATTCTTGATGCCTCTAAACAGTGATTGCATAATTTTATAGATCTGTTTACAATCCATTTTTCCTGTCCAAACAAATATGAGAGGCCAAATTTTTTCCTGGTACGTGACTCCACTGACTTTAATTTAGCTACAGAAAGAAAAATTTATGTATGTGGGTGTGTATTTTTAAAAACCTAGCAGAAGGCACTGCAGATGTGCGGCAGCACTTGTTCAAATATCAGTAGTTCAGCTGTGTATTCAAACTCCTTCTCTGTTTCATCTGCTTTGGAAACCAGTCACTTAAATAATTACATTCTGGAATCCAAAATTTTTCCTATAGAAAAAGATTTTGGAGGAGCAACTTTTTTAAGACCCAAAGAACATCAAGCACTCAACTGTCACTTTATACCTAATATATAAATAACCACAACCCTCCCAGTGGAGGAAACATTAAACAATAATCAGAAGCAGAGAGGAGGCAGTGTGGGGTAGGTGGAAAGTCCATGGTCTCCTTTTCCCACAGTTTTCCTGGTACCAGACTGCAGGGAATGTGAGGTACGGGCTTTTCTACTTCCCACTCCACGTGCATGCTCGCACTTTCTGCTTGCACACTGACTTGGAATAACCTCCACCGCAGTGCCAGGCTTCTCAGCCCACGGATGTCCCAGGCCTCTCCCAGCCCAGAGCTTCTGGCTGTAATGAGATGATGCTCCTTGTATGGAGAGGCTCAGTGCAAAAGCTTCTTACAATTTTCTGCCAAAGAGGGGAGAGAGAAATTCAGCCCACTCCCACCCCTGCAGAGACTCTGCCTTCCTGCAGGGAACTGAGAAATGTCAAAGAGAGACACAGGCCATTAATCCCCTCTTGTGGGAAAAGCCTCACCCTCCGGGTAGCGAGGATGAGAAATGGGATCCGGGCTCATCACAGCTGCCTTTGCTAGATCTGAACCAAAGGCTGTGGGAAGTCAATCAAAGGGCTTTCCCTAAATTCAGAGGACCTTGATTTGGGCTCCTGCAGAGCACCTGCAATTTTGGCACTGACATCCCAGGCCATGAACAGTCAGGCAGCTCAGTCTGAGGGTTTTGTGCTTCACAGGCAAATACGAGTTTCCCCACATGTGCCAGGTGCTGTGCTTGAGCCCAGCACTTCCAGATTAGGGATCTACTATCAGTAGCTTATAATTTTACCAAACTTTAAGTGTATAGGCTGAATTCTTCTGTACCACGTCTAGCTACTACCTGGTAAAAGGTCAGCAGAATTTGCTCAATCATATATAAAAATGGGATTAGGGAATTACATATTTGGTCCACGTTAAAAGTAAACGATCAAATAAAACATGCAACCACATGAATCTTATCATACTGAGTGCTTCTAATGCAATCTCTGTCATTAGACACCTGTATGAAAGTGATAAAAACATTTAAGCCAAAGTTTTCCCATCTGACACTAAGTCGTCTTCAGCTTCTGGAGACTGTCATAAGGTTCAACAGCCTGATGTGCAAATGTGTGCTGAGCTCTTACACGCACAACTCATGTCAACTGAACGTACATTTTAAACAGTGCAGCAATGAAAGCAAAACTGGGTGCCCGGAGAAAACAAGTCCTGGGCATCTCCAACTGAACACTCAAACTTAGCAGACATTTTTTACATTAATCAGGGCCTAGTTCTGTGTCTAATACAAAACACTGAGCAGTCATTTGTTTTGTATGTTGTGCAGAGTAGAGGTTAAACGTGGAAATATATACAATCATGCAATTAAATTCTGTAATACATTATATGTATGCACGTTAAGGGGAAACCCGATTGGTGTTAAACATGACTTTAAGAAAACTCCAAGCTTTGCAAAATTATCATTGTTATAATGTGTCTTTTTTGTTTATTTGCTTCTAATTAATGATCAAGTGATCTTGGTAGGAGGGGATGGACAATGTGATATCACAGGGCAGATAATAAAGAAACAGACTCACGTTAGGGCTTCAGAGTAATTATAATGAGGAGACACTCCGAGAAACTTCTGCACTTCATCCATCACAGTAGCTGGGTCACTTCTTAGCTGCTGTCCATCAATAATAAGCAACTGTAGGGGTAAATATGCTAGCTATTTAGAAACAGGACTAAGGTTAACAAAAGAATGATATTATTTCCTTTCTGTGACAATGTGGATTTAAATTAGCATGTGACTATGTGCAGTGCAAATAACGATTGTATGGATGAACATCTTTTTAGATTTACTTTTTACTTTATTGTGTTGAATCTGTATAGGTAGGCACCTTGTAACTCTGTGTGTGCACACTGTTCAAATGCAAGGGTTAAATCTCACAAGCCAAACCCGAGTCTCAGACAATTCTGAGAAAAAGAGA